TTATGGTTTGTGCTTTGTTGGGATTGCTGGTTCTTTTCTGTATAGTAAAACATCTAATCCAGATAGAAATGTTAAGTAAATTCACAGACTTTCCTTAAAATATATGTTCTCCAAAAAGCAGTGTCTTTTCTTTGTCCTACCCGTGACGGAAGAAACAGCTCAGAATTTTCCAATATAAAATCAAGTTGGAATATTTTTCGTATTTGGTAATAACTCGTATATTAGTGAACTAGGTGTAGCTTTATCAAAATGTAGAATTGCTTAGTACTTTATACTTAAATTAAAAAAGGAAAACTATTTTTGCTGTACAAATGTCCCACCCGTGACGATGGAATACCCCTTCTGAAATGAAACCCCTCAAAATTAGCAGCTCTTTCGATGCGTCATTCTACATACAGATCACAATTGCACTAGTAGTCTTACAAGATTTGAACATTTTCGTTAATCTACTCGTGAACTACGTGCGAGAATATTCAAATAGATTTTGGATGCCCAAATAACTAAAGAGAAAATTATAATGGAAAGCAAATCGTGCGAAAATTTGTTGTATCGGATTAAGTTTTGATATAGAAATATTGATACTCGTTTAATATGTTAGTTTCGCGACTGCTGTGCAGTGGATGCAACATAAGTAAACCAGCTAAGTAATGGAACACGTTATAGTGAAAAAAATGCTTCTACCCACCTGACTTTGGCTGCCACGTGCGGCATGCCGCACCGAACCATAACGCTTTGTTATACCCGTGCCGGAAATATCGGTACGCGAGGCCGTGTACTCCGGTATGTTGAGTAGAGAACCCTAGAAAACCAGTAAAGAGTAAGCAAACATTTTTAATGTCAAATACTACATACTACTCGCACTTACCTGATATAGGATATCCGGCCGATACATTGTGCCACTGCCCCAGTTCTCATGCGGCGGCTCTAGGCGATCCAAATGCGGCTGACTACGATGACGCACCATATCCGTGCTGCTGGTGCTCTGTACGCTAGTCGGGTCTGGGGTTTTGCCATTTGCACCATTGCTCACAGTCTGGTTGTTCTACACAAAAATGAGAAATTCGCATGTAAGCGACACTTGAAAATACAGATAAACTTAAAGGATAAGTGACATCAACAACATTCATGTAGGTAAGAGGGTAGGCAGGGTGTTAGCTTTTGGTTAAAATAATATTTGCGTACCAAACACCGCTGAGGGTGTGTAAGCTTGACTGGTGGGAGAGGTTTTTTCTTTGTTTATATCAGAGCGTGCTTGGATTACGTGCAGAGAGAAAAGTATTTATGTATGTTTACATGTAGTATGTTTGTATGTAGGTAAAATGCTAGCGTGCTTGGACACATACATACATTTGCGTATAGCAGGAAAGTATGGTCTGTTTGATTTATATGGGAATCGTCTGACGGTGTTGGGAACGAACTACATTTTACTTGCGCTAACAGCATTGTCAAGTCGAGCGAGAGCATCCGGCAATGCGCCAAGGAGGGACGCAACTGTCGCAACTGTACCGCGTATGTGTGTTGGACGAACGCGCAGCAAATAATGAGAATAAGTAGAATAAAATCGAATTAGAATACTTGTATGCGAGAAATATTCTAAAAATTTTGACCAACCCAAATACTAAAGATTTTCAATATTTTCAATTAAACCAAAACCACACCTATTTACTACGACCAATCCCATTCCCACTTACATTATTGCTATTGAAACCGTGTCCCACGCTGTTTGAGCGACACAGCGCCTGCGCCACTGGCAACTGCAAATACTGATCTCCCCCATCCGCAGCTGATTTTAGCGGTTTCAGCTCTGCACTCGTTGTGTGATTATCAATAAGGCTGGATTTCTTTACTTTTTCTGGTTTTGGTGGTTCCAATGGTCGAAAGAGCGCACCGAAGATAATGCAATTCAATACAATGCCACCAATGATGAGCATCGCACCACGCCAACCAAACGAACCGATCAGATGCTCGGTGAGCGGTGCAAATACGAACGTACCAAAGCCGGAACCACACACCGCAATGCCGGTCGCCAGCGAACGTTTCGCTTCGAACCATGTCGTCACACTTACAATGGCTGGCAGATAAATGAGTCCCAGACCAAAGCCGGTGCCGATGCCAATTGTGAAAATGAGTGTTAGCACATTTTGTGCAAATATGCTGGCAACGATGCAGGCGGCGGCAAATATGGAACCGGCTATGGTGACTGCGCGACAGCCGTAGCGATTGACGAAGGACGAAGAAATGGGACCTGAAACGGTGAGGTATAGAAGATAGGTATTTATATTTTCGATATGCTTATTTTATGCACTTGTAAGTACTTACCTGAGGCATAGGTAACGCCCACCATGATGGACACTATCCAAGCTGTGTAGCCTTTGCCTTCGTTAAAGTAACTGAGAAACTCATTATAGAAGAGACCGAAAGAGTATGTCATACCATCCGCTGTGGNAGCGCACCGAAGATAATGCAATTCAATACAATGCCACCAATGATGAGCATCGCACCACGCCAACCAAACGAACCGATCAGATGCTCGGTGAGCGGTGCAAATACGAACGTACCAAAGCCGGAACCACACACCGCAATGCCGGTCGCCAGCGAACGTTTCGCTTCGAACCATGTTGTCACACTTACAATGGCTGGCAGATAAATGAGTCCGAGACCAAAGCCGGTGCCGATGCCAATTGTGAAAATGAGTGTTAGCACATTTTGCGCAAATATGCTGGCAACGATGCAGGCGGCGGCAAATATGGAACCGGCTATGGTGACTGCGCGACAGCCGTAGCGATTGACGAAGGACGAAGAAATGGGACCTGAAACGGTGAGGTATAGAAGATAGGTATTTATATTTTCGATATGCTTATTTTATGCACTTGTAAGTACTTACCTGAGGCATAGGTAACGCCCACCATGATGGACACTATCCAAGCTGTGTAGCCTTTGCCTTCGTTAAAGTAACTGAGAAACTCATTATAAAAGAGACCGAAAGAGTATGTCATACCATCCGCTGTGGGCAAAAAATAGAAAAAATAAATTTAGTGTTTGTGGTACAAAAAATTTAAGAGGTTGCAACGAGGAGGTGGGCATATTTTTTAATCTGATAAAAATCACTATTTTCAAAACTGTACTTTGATTACTCAGTTTTAATTGATAGTTACTTGAAACAGTCTACTGAAGCCACTGGCAATTAATAAATATTAAAATTAATTAATTTGGAGGATGGTTCTCTGTGCAGAAGTCTACGCGTACGTATCCTCTGAATAGCGACCAAACACCCGTTTGGAAACGAGCTAAAGAGAGAAGGCACAAAATCTCACGTGTGTTGGTTGAGCGTATGCACCTAGAATATCCGGATCCTCTGTCCGACAAATTGATGTTCTCGCGAAGACAAACGCTGACATCACCGCCATGCAAGAAATGGGACGGACGGGGCAAGGAAAGAAATACGTGTGGTCGGTCTGCCACGTAAAGGCGCACAAATCGGTGTTGGATTTGTGGTGTAAGAGATGCTGTCGTCCACCCCAGTGGACAACGTTTAGCCACGATCCGAAGCAAAGCGATATTCTTCAACATCTTGCTCATCTGCACCCATGCCCGACAGAAGAGAAGGACGAAGCGTCCAAGGATCTCTTCTATAATCAAAATCGTACTTGGAGATTTCAATACCAAGATGGGCAAGGAAGCGATCTTTGGCGCGGCTGTCAGAAAATTGAGCCTCGACGACGAAACTTCCAATAACAAACTGAGGCTGATCGAATTCGCCGAGCCAGAAACATGGAAGTATGTAGTACTAGGTTTCAGCATAAAAAGATCCACCTAGCTACATGGCTGTCTCCAGATAAAAAAAACCGAGACCACAGAGCAAGAAAATCTCAACGGCAAAAAGCTGCAATCACAGCTTTAACTTAGCTTTAAAATTTAATTTAGATATTACAGAATACGGATACGAGTAGGTGTCGATACTTTAGATTCGATATTTTTAAGATATCGATACTTTCTTTCGATACTACTTCCAAGTAAAAGTATCAATACCTGCATAGTCCATCTTCGATTTGATAGAAAAAATATAAAAAATTCAATAACGACTGTACTGGTTTTAAACCAGTTTTGGTTCGCACTCGAATAAAATAATCCCACTATTGACTGGGCAATGTGCTATACTTAACTAGATAGTATTTTTTTATCAACATTCTTACTGTTATCGAAATCAGACGGGATTTCCTAGTTTACAATTTCAGGAAAAGTGTAATGAAATAATAAGTGCAATATTGATAATAATACGAGTACATATATGGATAATACTATTTGAGTGAATTGAATAGGTTAATAAAAATCCCGTTGCATAGGGCAGGGTATTAGTGCCTGAGGGCCATGACGATATTAGAGCTGGTAAAAAGGAATGCTTTAATAAGTGGGATATTAAATTAGATTACTTACTAATTACTAAATAAGTATGGAAAAATTGGAATAGATTTTCTTACTGAAATAATATTTATGGAATGAAAGACGGACCACAATCTGATGTAAAGATGTCTATGTACATGCATGCTAGGTACCGAAATTTTTCTAAGCAACAAAGCCGCATAAAAGTCTAGATATTTTTGTTAAGTCCCGAGGGTCACTAAACGTCTTTTGACTAGCTACCGATACCCGTTTAATTGAACAGATCGTTCAATTACAGAAATTACGCTAAATTGGACAACCTAATCAATTAAAAGAAAATTCATGTGTGCATTGTAAATCATTATTAAATTTAATGATAAATAAACTGTAAAAGGAAAAAAGAGGGAATAGAAACATTTTATATTTACTGTTGTTCATACATAATTATGTATACTTGTCCTCACATTTTTACAAAAAAAAAATATATAAAAAATAAATAAAAAAATAAATCAACCGGGTTCAGTTATGCGGGAAAATTTACATTGATTTCTTATGCAATATTTTTTTGCTCATAGAATAATTCAAATAAGCGGAGAAATCAATTAACCGGGGAATACTCTACCAAATTTCGTAGATATCTAAATTTTTTCTCGAGCTATCGTGTACACGGACGGACAGACGGACGACGGACGGACTCACGGACATGGCTTAATCGACTTCTCTATTCATTATGAGCATTTATGTATACATTTGTCTATATCTATCTCGATTCGTTTTGGCTGTTAGGCATAACACAAATATTTTCTTTCATTCCGGTGTTATTCTTGAAATCGACGATTTAAAAACACAAAACTCAACATGTATAAATTAATAAAATTTTTAATGCAATTTCGGATATCGAATCACGGGTGATGCGGAATAGAACCGAAATATTTACCGCTTTGCTTTGGAAGAACAACGTAGTGACATAGAGATAGACATATCACTCTCCAAATTAAAAACAGTTACAATTCGAAACTTTTCCAAATTATTTGTCCCCCCATAAAATAGTTCACAGACCATATATATATATGTGTATATCTAACGCCCGCCGAAATTTCTTATTCAACACCATATTCTTTAACTGGCAAAATACTACTAAGACTGTTTTTGTTTTGCTTGCATCGCTAGCTCAGTATCAACAGGTTTTTGTCTCTACTGAACATTTGGGGTTTTTGAGCTGTTTTTAATTTAGGGCGTGTTATGTACATACCAAGCTTCTCCTTCGATTTGTGGTGTGCGCCTTGATGTTTTCACACAAAGAGCAGGGACCTACAATTTTACACCGCCTCCGAATGACAAGTGGTTTTAATGAGAAGCTTTTTACATGGCATACATTTGTGAAAAAAATTTTTTTTTATAAAACGATGTGGGGAGTTATAATTCGATGAAATCCATCATATCGACCAAAAAGGGTAATTTTATATTTATTAGTTACGACTTTTTGCATTTCAGCGACGATGTTTATTAAGCCTTTTTGCTTTTCAAGCGACGATATGTTACTTTCTTGAAGTTGAGTCTCCTTTCTTGCGCACCAGAAGCCATCTATATCGTCTCCCTTCCTATGGTACAACTTCATCGAAATAGCCCGTTTACCGAGCCCATCATTAGATGTTTTACAGCCAGTTACATATATACATAAGTTATGAAGTACCGACGATACGACCCAGTTTTTCTCAAAGATCCATTTGTAAGTGTTGCAGGTCTTTTTTTTGTACTTTTTTCTATGCTCCGCCGTCATGAAAATTTGAAGTCGACAGACATGCATAAGTAACTCCCATCGTACTAGAGATCTAAGAATTTTCTATATAGCCTTGATAGGAACAATTCAGGATTTTTTTTATTATTGTAGACACAAAACAAGTTTCATTAAAAAAGTGTTAATTTACAGCCCAATCTGTCCAACACATTTTAATATGCTATCCAGTGGCGGTTCCATAAACACACAATAACAAATAACGGAAGCTAAACGGCCTCCATGTAATATGAATCATTACATATTTTTCTAAGCTTGAAACAAAAAAAAAATTATATTTTTTTATGTACACTTCTCAATGACACAATTAACTGAAAACTGCAATCGGTCGTGCAACAGAAAATGAAAGGAAGGCAAATAAGAAACATAAATGCGGCGAAGTAGTGCAAGTAAATAGAAATATATACGCACTATAATGCGATTTACTCAGCGATTACAAGCGTATTACGGTGTTAAATATTTCAGGAAGGAAAAATGCAAGCGAGGAGTAAACAAAGTAGTATGAAATCAATTAAATAAATAAGTTCTACTATCTGGCGTCTAAAATGAGGCTTTGTAATCAATGAGCGCTTATTTCACAAAAAAAAAAATATGTAAACTAAATGCTCTTAGTCTGCTTTTACATGTTTAAACTCTTAGTTTCAGGTTTATGAGTTATTAGTCGAGAAGGGTGAGAAGGGAGAGGAAGAATACACACCACCCCTTGAAATGAAGTAAAGAACCAACCACTTTAGTTCAATAAAAATTAAAGGGTGTAAAATACAGACATACGCAAATTTATTGACAAATAGTCAAGGTTGATTATTTGTCTAGCGATAATTTAAAGTAACTCATACGCCCTGCCTAATTTGTGTGCTATTTACAAAATTTTATTTATACTCACTTATAATATGTATCATAAAGGATCCGAAGACGACCATCCAACCCCAACCACCATCTGGTGGCACCGGCGTCAGCACATCCTCCACCAAATCACAGTTGCCATTTGTAGTTTTATTTTTGCGCGCTGGTGCATGTACCATTTTTGTGTTGGATAAAAATTATTTATATGCGAAATCAACTAAAGGAATGTAGAGCACAGCTTTCAGCTGAAGCGAGACAAATTACAGTTGGTAAATGTGCAAAGGAAGCTTCCTGTGTTAATATACGCTTTTCAGTCTGTCGAATATTTTACCAACGACAAATTTCAAATTGCACCACTAAATCAATGAACAAATCAAATAAATTTATTTTGCGTGTTGCTGGCATGCAATTTGCACTTCTACTTCTCTATTATCGATCAGCGATTGTTCAATTCCTTCTTCCAGCCATTCAAAATGCAATCACAGCTCTCTGCTTGACTTGACTTTTTGCCAAGTTATCATTGCTAATATTAATGTATGTAAATATGTATTTTTCTTTGTATGATGTTAGCACTTTTCAGCAAAACTATTTGACTACTGTTGTGTGTTTTTCTTTGATGTTGTCCTTTCACTTCTTCAAGCTTAGTGCTTTTTGCTGCTAGCTTCCAAGCGTTCTATTTGCGTAGTTGCTTTTTCATCTGCAATTTAGAAATAGAAACAAAAACTTAGTTAAGGTTATGCAGTTTTATGTATGTAAATTAGACTGCATCACTCCCCATACAACAAAAAAAATCGGTACTGTATTTCCATTGGAATTATAAAATCTATTTTATTTTAAGACTTCCATCAAAATATTTCGGAAAAATATTAAGATTTACGTGAGCTGGACCGACTTGAAAATACATCCAAAAATAGGTTTTTTTATGAATCAAAATAGTTTCTTAAAGATTTTTTTGAAAAAATGTCCTCAAATTTGCAAAAAAATATTTTTAAAAAATTTAAAAACTTTTCAACGGAATCTTAATAATGAGATTTTTCAACTTTTTTCAAAAATTGGTATAAAAAAAACTTGAATAACTGAACCCAAACTATTCCGATTTAGACTTGCGACGTATAACTGGAAAGGTATTTTCGCACCGTTTTTATTTATTTGCTGATAAACTCATTCAAAAGATGAAATAGAAAGGTAGGATGAACGAACGAACGTCATTCCAAGTTGAATTAAAATGTGTTGGTATTTGGAAAAAAACAAGTAAGAAAGTCTAAGTTCGGGCTGAGCCGAACATTAAATACCCGGCGCAAGTATTAAATATATGTTTTTCACCTTTCCGAAAGCTACCGCTACATGGTAAACCGGGGTGTATACATTTTAAGTAAATAGCGTCCTTAAATTTCGAAATATTGAAGTTTCAAGCATTTCTGAAATTCACTGTTATATGAAAAGCGGTCGTAATTTTAGTTCGATTTCAATAATTTTCAACGTTTTGCTTCTATGCGGCAAGCACAATAGCCACACCGAGTTTGGTACAAATTGGTAGAACGGTTAGCGAGATACTTATATGTCATCACAAGTGGGCGGTGCCACGCCCATTTTCCAAAATGTTATCATAAACGTATTTCTTGGTAAAGAATTGTTGCAACCATCAATTTTGAATAAATTAGCTTTAATATTTACTGATTTATCGAAGATTTTGAGTGAAATTACCGTTATATGGGATGTGGGCGTGGTTATTGTCGAATTTTAAAAATTTTCGGTCATTTCGTATGTTATACCAAGGTTAACAACTGTGCCAAGTTTGGAAGCAATTGGTGCAGCGGTTACCAAGATATACACATGTAACCATAAGTGGGCGTGGCTACGCCCATTTTCCAAAAATTTATAATATTCTTATTTTTCGTCTAAAACTTATTGTAAATATCAATTTTGAGTGAATAATCTTCAGTAGTTACTAAAATATCGCAGTTTTCGTATTTCTGAAAATTACCGTTATATGGGAGGTAGGCGTGGTTATTGTCCGATTTTGCCCATTTTCAATACCATCCGTCCTCCGCCCGAAAGAAGTACACATACCAAGTTTCGTTAAGATATATCAATTTTTACTCGAGTTATCGTGTGCACAGACGGACAGAAAGACGGACGGACGGACGGACAGGCAGTCACCGCTTAATCGATTTCCCTTTTCATCCTGATCATTTATGTATACATTTGTCTATATCTATCTCGATTCGTTTTGCCTGTTACAAACAACCGTTATGTGAACAAAGTTATAATATCCTTGTGCACAAGTGCGCTCGGGTATAAAAATGGGACGTGAATGAGCTTTTATGTGCACAGAAATAAAAGGAGTGGAAAAATGTTTTTATACTGAGACCACATAAGTTTAAATCAGAGTAGTTTTGGCCCAGTTATTCAAGTATTTCGTAAAATAATCTTTGCAAAAAAAAAAATAAAAAACAGCATCAGAAATCTCATTATTACGATTCCGTTGAAAAGATTTTTAAATATTTGTTTGCAGATTTTTTTAGCTTAATATGTTTTGTCATCTGAGAGAATTTTTTTTTTCAAAAAGTTCTTTAAGAAACTATTTTGATTCATAAAAACCCCCATTTTTGGAGGTATTTTCGAATAGGTCCAGCTCACGTAAATATTTTGGTGGACGTCTTAATATAAAATACATTTTGTAATCCTGGAGGAAAAACTGCAACGTATTTTGGTGATGCAGTCTAATGTACATAAATAGATACGATTGCTGTAAGCAGAAAGCTGAGTGGCAATTAAGTTTGCTGCTCTTGTGAAAGTGAGAAAGTTACATTTCTTTTGCCATTGACAGCCTTAAACTGGCTGTTGTTTTTACTAACAAAACATATAAATATGTATGTATCTATGCAGGCCGTTCTCCATGCAGACAATTTCTGGGTATATGATTTTTAGCTCAGCAACCACTTCAAACTAAACTTACTTAACCCCTCTAGATCATTTTATTTGGCGAACAAACTGAAAATTTTTGAAGATAGTCAAATGATTTTTGGCAAAAAGTAATAATCGTGGTCCGCTTTTGGTGAAAATTGTTACATGGAGTCCTAGTAATGAACACAGATTATCATCTTCATCATCAATATAGAATTTAGCGAAATGCCATTCACGCTAGGCTAGGGGGCGGATATGGTAAATGTTATCCGAATTATTGATTCTTATGTTTTAAAGACTAGCAAATGCTATCCAATACAGCAAAAATTTAAAATAAGGTCTACAGGCAAGCGTTCAGTTTTTGTAAGATTAACGACAGGGGCGCCGGCGGACGCAGTTGAATTTCTTGATATTATTTTAAAATGACCGCGCGAAGCCACAAATACTCTCCAGAAAGATGTTAAAAATACATATCACAGAAATATCCTTTACTCTGTAAGGACTCAGAAAAATTATGAGAACCTGATTTGGAGCAATCCTTGTATAATATTTAACTTGATAACGAAGATGAAGAAAAATGTATATATAAGTGCTCACTCATACGACTTAGTTGGGCCGATCTGAAGCAACTACAGAATTGAGTTATATACCAGATTAAAGCGCAAGCTGCAATTGCAGTTGAACGTGTTTGTCACAAAAGTAAAAAGTGGCAGAAAAGTCGATAGTGAAGAGTATAATCTATTAAAAAAACTAATAAATTTTCCTTGGAATTTTGATTCGGATTCGTTGTTGGTTTTTGCTAATAATTCTATTTTTAGAATGCTTATCTTTTAGGTGTGCTCGTCCTTAAGTTATTTGTTTTTGTTATTTTATGGCCTTATAACAATTATATTCAACAATTTTTAATGAGATTGAGGCCGTTTTTAATGAAAAACTAATTGTGTTACAAATCTACTGGTGTGGCCATAATTAATTTTGGACACGAAAATGGGCAAAATTACCCATAGCCCGATTGTGGAACGGGTACAGAGGACGACTTCTATGCTTATCACGAGGGCACTACACACTACACCCACCAAATCTCTTGAAGTAATATTAAATCTTCCACCGATGGATCTCTGCGGAAATGTCTGGCCGGTTGTAGGGCAGCCCGGTTGCTAAATTCTAACGGAACAACATAAAAGGTAGCCACAGAATGTAGAAAGATTGTCAACCTTCTGTTATCAAAATGCTCCTTGACTGTTTTATTTATCCCGGGACACAGAGTCATTCCCAGTAACTGGATAGGCGATAGGCTAGCAAGGAGAGTGACGAAAATATCCGCCGTCAATTCTAACCTCTTGCAAACACAAATTAGAGGCCGAACTCATCGAGGAGGTAAATACCCGATGGAGGGTTGTGTAATGAATAACTGAAATAAATTGAGACCTAACGAAAGTTTGGTGGGAATTTTAATATTTTTCTGAGGTAGTTACGTATTGAAAATGGGCCAAATCGGAGTATTACTATATCCAACTTACATGTAGTGCTTTCAAAAAAAAAAAATAAATAAATCAAACCCCAAGCTATTTTATTTACTATCTACACGAGCCGTTATTCACCGCCCACTTATAATTCAATTAGTTTTTACACGATATACAAAAATTTCTCAAATCATAAGATGCCAATGCGTTGGATAGTGAAAGTTTAATTTTGCCCGTACAACAAAAGCTAAATAATATAACGGATGATGAAATATCAAAACATTTTGCAAAGCAAACCCCCCAAAACTTTCCATTATGAGACCCGAGGTCAGATTGAATTAAAATGAGATGTTGCTTATCAGCCACACAGGGACTTTTATTCGCTATGCCGATCATTTTTAAAAACAATAAAAAAATTAATTTGAAAAATAATACTTTAAATAATATTCTAAGCTTAATTGAAGACTAATAATACATTTTAGCATAAACATGCTGCGGACAGTTATTAAATCAGCAACATTAAAAACGTAAATAGTTGATTAACCCGCTATGACTAGAGTCATATACATACATATATATTTACCAATAGATATACATACATACATACATACTATATATGCATGATGTTCGAACACGGCTTATCAGAGAGCTGTATAAATAAAATCAACAAATAATTTATTATAGCACGTGATATTCAAGACATGCTGATAGTGGCTGTTACATAGCGATTTTGCACTTCTACTTTCTTACAAATTAAGATTTTCCGTACAATTTTATACGTCAAACCACGCTTCTTCTTATCGTCGTTTTAAGATTATAAATAAACTAACAAGCTACGTGGTGTTATGGAACTTTGTCATGTTTGGGTGCTGTCGTAATAAAAACTAAATTGGCTAAATTCAATAAAAAAACATCAGCCTAATTCCATTTGCAATAAAATAAATATTTACCTTCCTGTGAATAAACTCCGTTTGTATAAATCCGGTTTACTCGGTATTCGAAAAATAAAGATTTAAAAAAAAACTTATTAAAAATACATATTCAAAATACTGAATCGGTAATCACGCTAATTGGCACGCACTACTGATCAGCTATACATAGAATCTCTTTATTAATGTTTTCAAAACTTAATTTCTAAATACAATCAGCGTCCGAC